AAAGTTGCTAATGCATTTGTAGATCCAAAAAGCATGATGCTGTTTTCAAAATGTCCATACCTAGTTTGAAATATAGTCTTTCATTCATCTCTTTCTGTGATGCATACCAGATTATATGCTCTTCATAGATCTATTTTTATATAGATCTTAGCTTGATTCAATTGATCAAAAAGTTCCAATATCAAAAGTAGCAGGTATGTATTTTTTGATGGTGATTTTATTGAATCTTTAATAATCAACACACATCTTCAATGAACCATCTTTTTTTTTCATAAATAAAATTAGAATTCTTGCTAAAGATTTGGAATAACATATAAAGTTCTAAGTTAGATTTTTTTTTAATATACTCCTTGAGTTTAGCCAACTCATTTTGTAATAAGCTATAGATTGGTTCAAATTGCAGTTAAGCTTCTTCTTGAAGGTTAATTGAGTAGTCATAAGAACAATGTTTTGAAAAAGTACTTGCATTTTTATTTTCAATAAATCTTAAAAATCTTGATATTGGCTTAGAATGCTATTTAAGATATTTTTACCATTAGAAAAAGATGTAATATAAATGACATAGATAGTCCTTCTTTTTCAACATGCAAAAAAATTCTTAAATCTACAAATACAAGTTTAGTTATACTAGACTTATGACTTTTTATTTGATTAACTATATTCTTAGTTATACTTTCAAAAAAGTGAAGACTACAAGAAATCCAATTTATTTTAGGATTATATTTTTCTAGCCATGATAAATCTAAAAATAAATAGATTAGAGGAAGATCTAATGATATTAAATATTATAAAGCTACTATGACCATTAATTGTGATTTCTATAGGAAAGATTTCATGATTAAAATTTCTTAAAGACAATGGATAACTATCTATGATTCCTATGTAAACAAATTTAGTTTATTTCACTAAAAGTATGCTATGTTTTTTAGCAAATTCTTTATTCAAGAAACACATTGAGGCTCTTGAATCTAATAAGCTAGAGGCTTTGTGATATTTAGGTTCTAAAATAAAATTTATTGTAAAATAAAGAGAGGGTTCTGAAGAAATAATAGCATATTCACTAAATGTTGTGCAAGGTTCTAATTACATTTTCTATTATAGCTGAATATTTTTTTTTTGACATACTATCTTTTTTGATAGCCATACTCTTCATTTTATGGTTATATTGATTCTTTGGATAATATTGAGTATATTTAGGTTTTTCACAATATAAGCACAATCCTTCCTAATGATGATGAATCTTTTCTTGATCAATAAGAGAGTTGAAATATATTGCATCAATTTGCGTATCCTCTACTTTTAAATGTATGTATTGAAGAGATATTGGTGTTTCTATTGAATTATAGTAATGTTGATGTACACTTATGCGACTCTCAAATTAAAATTCAAAAAGTCAATTATCTTACTTCACAGCAAAGTCCATTATTTGACTCAATGTTTGAGGATCAAGTAAGTTGAGTATCAATTTTTTTTACCTCATATTATAATCCATGGAGAAATAGGCTAAAAAGGATTATCTCATTCTACTTAATATTAGTTGTTAATTGTCAAAACTATGAAGCATATAATATTATTGATCAATTGAAATGTCACAAAATATAAATTTTATTGGTTGCAACATAAATTGCATCATGTTTTCCATATATGGATCAAAATTCCACAAAAAAAACTTTTAGATTATTGAATATTTGATCTCATCATTCAAAGAAAGATGAAAATCATGATAATATTGAACTTAAAAGAAGTGTACCAATGAATTTAACTTGCGATCCTAGAATTGGATAGCTTTAGAATTGAAGTTTTATCACAAGTTATATTTGATTAATAAATCCTCAAAACTTGGATCTTGTATCATCAAACTTCTTAAGTAGTGCAACCCTTGATTTTTTAATATTAGAAGGATGTTCCTCTATAGGAGAAGGAACATGATTTGATGTTCATGTTGAAGCAGCTCCAATTATATCTATATCTTATTGCTCCTTGTGGTGGTAAATTGAGTTGATGTATTCCAAGCATTAACTTCCTCAATTATTCTTGCATTGTGCCATTGCACTTTTTATTTTAAGAAGATTTTTCATGATAATACTTAGAGAAGAGAAGGTGTCTAATATTACTTAAAAAAATTAGAAAAGAGGACTTGAAATTAAAGAAAATAATAAGGACAATATTAATTTAGAAGAGGGTAATCTAAAATTTCTAATATACTTATGTCTTATCAACAGAAAGGGATAATTTATTCTTAATCAAGAAAAGATAAAGTTGTAATATTATAAATATATTCTTGTCAATTTGTCAAAGATAAGAACTCAATGAAAGAAAATAATCAAGTGAGACATTTTTCAAAGAAATATTACATAATAAAAATAAAGAAACATATACATCACAAGAAAATTGGAATGGCTATTGCCAAAAGATAAGAAAACTAAAGACTCTTGAATCTACACTACAGCAAGAAAAGAATTGACAAGAGTGAAGAAAGCTTCACTCTTGTCTCTATATATACTATCTACCTAAAAGCTATGTAACAACATTCTATGGGACCTTCAACATGTATTAACTTTGCAAGTCACATGTCTTAACTTACAAAGCAAGTTTTTCATATGTGTGCCATATGATTAACTTGTTCTATAAGCTACTCACACGTGTCACATGTGGCTAACTTATTAACCAAGTTTTTAACCTAAAAATCAACTATAAACATGTGTAAAGTAAAAACCATTTCTATGAAGCTTCCAAGAAGATTATATAAAAGATATTATAAAATTAATCTATTTTTATTTATTTCTACCTAATCATATAGGTAATTATTAGAATAAGTATGTATATCCATGACAATATATCCATATCACTTATTGTTTGATAAGATAGTTATGCTCCTTGATCACGTGATTGTTAATCAACAATTAATATCATTAGTTGATATTGTTTATTCAAGGTTGATAAAAGACGATCTAGTGAATAATGCCTTCTTAAGAAATAGAATCATTTTTTTTGCATGGAATGATGATGTAGAAGATATTAATGAGAAAATTATGGCTATATTTCTTAAGGAAGAATAAGAATATGTAAGCATCAATGAGGTTGTTGTTGAAGATGTTATCAAGAATAATAATTTTTATCAAGTCAAATTCAAGTTGCTTAATCCATTTGGAATACCTAGATGAAGCTTTGTCTTAAGATTGAAACTCTAGTGATGCTACTAAGAAATATTGCTCCTCACTAAAGACTTTGTAATAGAATCCAATTGGTAATTATATAACTAATGGATCAAATTCTTGAAGTAAGAATTATTAAAAGGAAATTTGTTGGAAACTTGATGTTCATCCTATGGAATATATTAACTTCCATAATAAATGAAATTTTGTTCATTCTAAATAGAAAATAATTTATAATCCGTCTTGCATTTGCAATAACAATAAACAAATCCTAAGGACAATTGGTGAAGCACATTGGTTTGGATCCATAACAATCTATTTTTTTCTATGGTCAACTTTATGTAGTGGTCTCTCAATACATTTTTTTTTGTTCTATCAAGATTCTTCTTCTTAGAAACAATAATTTAAATTCCACACTAAATATTATTTTTCCAAAAGTTTTAATTAGATAAATATTAGTAATTTATTTTTTATATTTTATATTTTGATAAATTAATTTATTGAATTTAGTACATCTTTGAATATTTTAACATGCTTTATGATTTTTCAATGTAATTTAATATTTTTTTAATATTTTCACAAGTAATTCCTTAAGCAAAATTAGCATATATATATATATATATATATATATATATATATATATATATATATATATATTTTTCATATTATCCATAACAATGGCACAGATTTACCTATTCTACTTTATAGCTAAAAGTTCTATTGTGTATTTTATTTCTTTCTATTTGTATCATATTATATTTATATTTGAAAAATATAAATATATCTTTCAAAAATAAAAAATATCTTTAAAAAATAGCTTCATTTGAATCACACTTTCCATGACGACACAAGTTCATCTAATATATATATATATATATATATATATATTTACACACACTATCTATTGGTTATATAATTTGTGATTATGGTTTATAATTTATATTTAGTTTAATTTATTTTATATTTTTATTAATATTTTTAATTTAAAATTTTATACTATAATCACAAAAATATAGAACTTATTTTGTTTATTTATTTTATTATTTTATTATTTTATTAAAAGATACTAAATAGAATGTGTATTAACCATTATATATATTATTATATTTATAATAGGATATAAATAGTGCAAATGTGTCAATTAAATAAATAATTTATCTACAGAACTAGCATTACATGCTTTTCAAATGCTAATATTTTATTCTAAATTTAATTATATGTATGTACTTTAGAAATTTCTTAACATGCATTTTTCTTAATAATATCTTAATGTAGGATATTGTTGATGCTACAAATGTTTTTGCTACTTCCACCACAACATGATACCACAATTTTTGATACTCCCACCAAGACTCACTACCTACTCAATATATATATATATATATATATATATATTTTTTTTTTCTGTTTTTGATTTTAATCAATTTTTTTGTTGATATTTGTAATAAATAAATAAAAAATTGAAGTTTTTGCTGTAGCAAAAAATTGTGATGACATTAACAACACCCTTAATAAACCACAAAAATGAACAATTTTTTTTTTTTTTTTTTTATTGCAATACACAATTTATTTACAAGAAAAATCCAAATTGCTACATAAAAGTGGTGATGCACACCTACAAAAATAACTCTTTCTTTCACATCTTTCCAAAAAGAGTAAAAACCTTTCTTTTGTTTGTTTGTTTGTTTGTTTGTTTGTTTGTTTTTTTTTTTTCTCTTTTTCCTTTACATTCTTTTCTTATATTGGATTGTACCAATGCTCAAGCGAAATATACCGTCAAGTGCCTATAACATTTATACACTCATGACAACTACTAGATCTTGTCTCCCTTACAACCATAAAGTCTTCATTGTCAAAGGCTTACAGTTAAGCATCAAGCAGACAAACAAATAGTCTGCTCTGAATTAAACAACCTTGGGTCAATATGTCCTTTCAATCTGCATTTTTGATTTTCATTTGAGTGACGAAGCGCACCGCTCAGCATCAATCTCTACAGAAACTGCCTTGTTCCAACTATCAGTTCGCTAACAATAGGGGCTTCTGACTGTTCGCTAACAATAGGAGCCTGCTCAATAGAAGCTTCTGACTGTAGCTCACTGTTGAAAACTCTCAGGTTTGTACTAGATGAACATATCAAAATCGCTCACCCTGTTATAAGAGATCTGAAGTATGGCTGCTATCAACCTGCACAATACTGTCTGTACTGGAAAGCCATCCTGGTGAAGTGATGGGTCAAGGTTTTGAAGAGAGCAAGAGAATGAGTAGATAATCACGCACTACCCATAGAGAAAAGAAAACAAAAAGCAGAACTTTATCTAGTAAAGCATTGAGACAGATGCATCAAGCGAGTTCACAGAAATTCAATGTTGGACCCCAGATCTCGAATGAGAAGGTCGTATTAATGTCACAAACAATTGGTGTACTAATTTCAAAATCACCTATTCACGTGATTTAACAAGATTGATGAGGTTAGTGTATGCACCATCCGTCCTAGCCATCAACTGTTTATGCGTTCCTTTCTCCACTATCTGTCCATCCCGTACCACAGCTATAGTATCGGCATTCCTCACTGTGGACAACCTGTACACACAGCAAGGCAGTAATTGGTATTCAATCTACCCAAGACATCAAATTCATACCTAACCTTATCTTGAAACACATTGAAAGAGCCACGTTCTACATATGGAAGATTTTTTCGTTCGTGTGATTTGCAACGATATGATAGTGCTATTCTGTAAATGATATTGAAAAGCCACACTTGAAGAGAATAGCGGAGGATGTGCAGTACCTGTGCGCAATGAGGACTGTAGTGCGGCCATGCATGAGCTTGTCCAGAGCCTCCTGAACAATCCCCTCTGAGTGTGAGTCCAATGCGCTCGTTGCCTCGTCCAGAAGCAAGATAGCCGGATCCTTGAGCACTGCCCGGGCAATCGCCACTCTCTGTTTCTGGCCACCTGACAGCTGCACACCCCTTTCCCCAACCTCTGTATTGTACCCCTCTGGTAAACAACAAATAAAATTGTGGGCATTAGCAGCCTGGGCTGCCTCCACAATCTCTGCGTCAGATGCACCGTCTCGGCCGTACAAAATGTTCTCGTGAATTGTTGTCGCAAACAACGCAGGTTCTTGTTGAACAAGTGCAATATGACGGCGCAGTGAGCGCAACCTAAGCTTCTTGATGTCATGCCCATCAATCTTCACCTTTCCTGATGTGGGATCATAGAATCTTGCAATAAGAGCAATGACTGAGCTCTTTCCTACATACAAATGAAAATCAATTATTATTAAATTTTTCCTTTGAGATGTTGCAAATTTACGTTCTTTCTAAAGTTAGTATTACTGAGAGACCACAAGCACAGAGGGAGTTATAACATGGAATATTGGCCACCTGCAATTCCGAGTTTAATGATCTATACATTTCTAAGATACGATGCCGATACTGGACTAGAAGGTAGCCAAATGCATCTATTTAAGTGGTATGAACTCCATCGCTGCACTTACAAACAAGGGGTATGACCTTCACACAATGACGTCGCTTGCGGTATGAATCAATAGGTGCGCTAGTGTATTACATGTTTCTTGCAAGTAGAAAACTATGCTGACTAGCTAGATCAATAAGTACCTGGAGAAGCAGTTGGATAGCAGGGAGTGAAGGCAGAGACAGAAACCTGAGCCACTGGCACCGACCAATGCAAGACTCCTCCCAGCATGAACCTTCAGGCTGAAATCTTTGAATATGATTGTGTCAGATCTGGAGGGGTACGTGAAGTGGACATGCTTTAAGCTAATGTCACCTCGCACCTCCAGCACATCTTCAGCAGTTGAATTTTCAGGGTCGATTTCAGTCTCTCGGTCCAGAATACAAAAAATAGATTTCAAAGCCTGTAATCCGTCGGAGTAGCTCTTGATTAGGATGTATTTCAAACGTGATATACCAGAATTTTTTCATACTCTGTAGTGATACTGTGTGACGTGGAATAGTTGAAAACCAAAATGTCAGCCAGTTCTTCTAGAAAAGATGACTGATCATTGAAATTTAAGTAAGAAGGGATACGTGGAGTGTGAAGCATATAAAGTACACCAATCAGCACCAGCAGTATCAGGACAACAACCTGGTGAGAGAGGGATTTTCACAGCTTAAGTTGTTGATCAATACCTGGGATCCTTTCAATATATCCGGAGCCATTGTGAGAGATTCGGCGAGCATGACTGCAGTGACGACCAGCACGATAAAAGTTCGGATAATGTTGGAAAAATCATTAAATCCCCCATGGGTAACCAATGTCGAGGAGTACCACATGGCCAATCCGTAGGAGCTGAAAACGAAGAATTGCGACAGCCCATAACCTATTCCAGCAACCTGTCCACGAACAAATGCGCGGCGCTTAGGTAAAGCGAGCTCACGGATGAAGAGGTCCAAGACTTTATCTTCTGCACAGAAGGCTGCCACAGTGCGGATGTTGCTCACTGCTTCTGTAGCCACCATACTAGCCCTTGCGTATGCCTTAGCTACGTCCCCCCCAAAACCTTTCAGAAAATGATGCTGCATTCACCATCAACTTTCCTCTTGCCGTTAGCTGAATAATGCCTGCTAATACCTCTCTTTCATATGTTTTATTAGTTTTTTGATTGCACGTGGCGAAATACCACTACTCAAAAGAATGTCAGAGCTTCTCTTAAATTCTTGAAGCTCTGGAATGAAAAATGTTTATGATAAAAAAAAAAAAAAAAAAAGGCACGACTACTAAACATTCGAAAAGTTCACATGCCCAAAAATTCTGTCCAAAATATATTTAATGTTATAAACAAACACAGCTTTGTGGAAAAATATCCAAGTCTCATATAATCTTCGGATCAGAAATTAAACTAGTTCTCCAAAGTTGGACAACAACATTGGAGAGAGCCCGACATTTGGAGGTCATGTGTGTAATCTTATGAACCCTCACTAGTGCATCTGAGTCAGACATCTGGTGAGTCAAGCGATGATGGAGGAAAAACACTTGCCATGTCCAGGTAACATTATTCACAAGAGTAAGAACGCCCTGCATAGAACCAGTCGTTCTAATCCTAAAAATAACAATCATAAGATATTCATGATCCTAAAAGTGGAAAATTAATTTACAGGTCTAAGAAATACTTTTGTCACCAGAACAGGACAGCGACACATTACCTCACCGATAAAAGCACCAACCATGAATGGATAAGTCGCCAACACCACGAAAGCAACTTTCCAGTCCAAGTAGAATGCAATACCAAAGGCCAGCAACATGAGTGCCAGTGTCATTAGGATCACAGAGGCACGATCACCAACGAAGGCTCTCACAAGTGTTGCATCCATTGAAAGTCGGGATGCCACCAAACTGCTATTGTTCTCGTCTTGATCAAACCAGCCCACCTCTTGCCGAAGAATTGCTGTCAATCCCAGACCCTGCAACTGGTATTAGGGGATCTAACAAACCTCAAAAATGATGCTTCGGGAACTCACGGATTTATATCATGATTTGATTACTGACATGATGGCAAACTGGACTAATCCATTCCCAACAAATTTATGATGCCATCTATCCCTGACTGCATTTGAGACACTAGACAAGCAGCTTTCTAACGAGAGGAAGCAAGCAAAGTAAAAGAAACAGCGTAGGACAACACGAGAGAAGCTTACATGTAAGCATCTTTTCACGGACACGAATTGTTAGACGCTCCCCCATTACCTCGAAAAAGTAATTCTGCATTACAAATGCAAGTACCGTGACAGGAATAGCTCCAGTGAACAACAAGCATATCTTACGGACCTGATGCTTGATATACCAGTCATCGAAAGTGTAAAACGACACCAAGATGTCACTCATACCAAGGGCAGCAAGGGGGGTTTTCCAGCCTGCCAATGATGCACCAATTGATCCCAGGATTGCATAAGGCCATTCAGGGGCGTTAAGCATTAATAAGCGTCTGAAGGATGGTTCACAAGAAATCAGCACAGTTTTCGGGGTGGATCCTGAGGTTGAGGCTGCAGATATATCAGAATCTGAAGTGTCGTGATGTGGTCTTGCGCTGTGCCGTTCGTTTAACTGTTCAATTAAAGATGATAATCTTGACGGCCTGCATCATAAATATGCTCGTCATCATCAGTACATAGGGTGGTAGTCACCCATGGTCAGTCATCCTTAATTACACATGCATGGAGTTCAAACTAGAGTCCATGCATATGTAATCAAGGATGATTAATGTGTTGACAAGATCTTTTCATTCCTCCCGACAAGACAATTTCAACTTTGGACCAAAACCAGCCTAAAAACTCCCATAATAATCCTCCATACTTTGTTAGGAACCATCCAAATTTGCGAACTGCATTGGCATGAATCACAAGCACTTAGGAATGAAGGACAGTGAGAAACCGATAAGAGCCCAGAATCAGGCATACTTGGAGTTGTGCATTGTCAGGGTGGGGCTGCAATCAGAAGACTTGCTTTCCCTAACGTTCGGCAAAATCGACCCAGGCAGATGCATATCCTGAGGATGCCTGCACATAGATCCTCTCAAGAACCGATTCAGCCAATCGCAACGAAAGGGTAACCTACTAACCACTCTTGTAAAAGAGATGAAACAAAAGATAAGAGGTGTATGCATTGTACATAGCAAACATCCAGCAGATAAAAGGGGCATTACATAAAATGCAGAGCACACATACGTGAAAAGAGGTTCTGGCGACAAACTCACTTCATACAGATCCCCTCTCTCGCTGCCAGGACTGCAACAATAGTTCAATAATTCAAAATTAAAGAATATAGATGTGGTTATTTATCATTATCCTAGTTCTCAAAATTCGCACATTCCTACATTCCTGCGGGTGCACCTGTCGTATAATGCAGATGGAAGTTCAAGTCAACAAACTCTGCGGCTGTACAGACGCAACTTCGTGAACGATGAACAGTCAGGGAATCTCCAACATTTGAGCCTTCTAAGTTGGAAATCCCTCACGGTGACAGCCTCAAACATCAAAACGAGTTGAACACATCTGCCTAAGGGCAAGAACGTCCAGAGATCATATATCACACCTCAGTTACTGGATGCGAATTATGTACCTAGAATGTCTAGTTGTGATGCCTGGAGTACCGCTTCGGATACAATTGTCAAACCATGGAGACTTTTCCCTAACAGTCTCCTTGAAAGGGTCCGTCTGTTGCAATCGCACTAATTTCGCATAAGCCCCTTCGTTCCCCTCACCTTTGGAAAGGGTATTATAATTCATGCACATCAGGAATTTACCGTCAATTAATAGCTGCAGGCTGTAAATTGTTTGAAAAAAGTTTGAAAAGAGGATATCACAAGCGGAAGTACACAGAGATAGATAGCAAATAAGAAAGACAACGTAAGACTTCTCTAATTTTCAGAAGAAAGTAATGATCGCTAACATACGTAACTCTTGCTTTATGCTGTCGGAATGGATCTCCGCTTAAAAGGTGAAATTAAGAATCTTTCTGAGACGATGTACATGTGAAGAGAGACTAATACCAAGGAGCTCATTGTGGGTTCCTGATTCCACCACCCTTCCATTCTGCACCACAAAGATGGCGTTGGCGTTGCGAATAGTCGAAAGACGATGGGCGATTACCACAGTCGTTCGGCCGATCATTAACCTATCCAACGCTTCCTGCACCAGCTGCTCCGAACCCGCATCCAAGGCACTGGTGGCTTCGTCCAGGAGAAGAATGGTTGGATTCTTCAACATGGCCCTGGCAATTGCAACTCTCTGCTTCTGACCCCCAGAGAGCTGCACCCCTCTCTCCCCCACTTGCGTATCGTACCTTTGCGGTAATTTGTCGATGAAGGAATGTGCGTTGGAAGCTTTTGCCATAGCTGTCACTTCTGCTGCCGACGCTCCTTCTTTGCCGTACAGGATGTTTTCTAGTATGCTCGTCGCAAATAAAACCGGCTCCTGATTTACCAACCCGATCTTCCCTCGCAGCCAGCTAAGCCGCAAAGTTTTGATGTCGTGACCGTCGACAAGAACCTCACCTACGCACAGTACGAGGCCATTTAATGAGGACTTAGATCAACAGTTGTTTCAAATAATCTACATCATTTTCCTCTCATTAAACTCGAATAGGTACTCAATAGCCTAGTTCCCAGTGGGAAACACACAAGTCTTAGACATGTCTTATCAGGGTTGATGTACCTGCGGTGGGATCATAAAATCGTTCAATCAAAGAGATGATGGTCGATTTCCCCGACCCACTATTACCAACAATGGCAACTGTCGTGCCTGCTGGAATGGTAATATTAAATTTGTCAAAAATCTTCACATTGGGACGAGACGGGTAGCTGAAGCTTATATCTCGAAGCTCAATGTGACCTGCTAATTGAGGTAGGATTTTTCCGTCTGTACTACGTCTACAATCTCGCAGCCGCTTCCTCTCAATGACTTGCATAACATTGAACCCGGCAGCTGTTCCCTTGGCAAAGATGTGTATATTTGGAGCTATCTGGCCAAGTGAACTGCAAGTTCAACATCGAGAAGTTGAATTACGGTTCATAATCATGTTTAAAATTATTTAAAATGATAGTGTATACATAGTGGAATTCTAGTGCAGTCCAGAGGAGTTGGATGTATTCCTACAGGCCACTGATAACAGCGTTGATGATAGTGGTAAAGGCTTGCCCACCATTCGCGCTCTTACGCAACACCAACAGACTGGCATACCAAAATAATAAACCCCACACAGCAATGAGGAGACCATGAGTTAAGCCAACGCTTAAACCCTTAGCAATCCCTGCTCGCTTGGCCATATCTAGTGTTCTGTGGAGAGCTTTGCTGTAAGCTTTTTGCGTTTTCACCTCACCCACAAACGAGTACACTGTCCGCACTTGAGCGATCGCCTGTCCAATCCACATGCCACATCCACGTTCTAGGTATGATAATGATGGGATTGATGTTGTAACCAACATCTCAGTGTTGAACCACATATTCGAAAGGAATTGTAAAGAATAATTGTACACTTGGCAAGTGAACATGCCCTTCCGATAACTGGTAAAAGACTGCCTCGCTATGTATTTCTGGTCACAATCTTAAATAATCTCTCTCCTACCTTCAACAGTGTTTTGAAATATATTTCGAGGGATCGAGACTATGAAGGAAGTGACATGAAATTCTAGCGATATGTGTCAGGAAGTAGCTGAAAGCTCTCAAGTTTATAAAATCTAAAGCAACACTCTCACAGTAAAATGCAGTTGGCTTCAGTTAGTATTGGAAATAACAGTACCTCTTCTGCTATGCTACCAGCTTTGGAATAAGCTTCCTGGCTCCACTTGGTTTGGCCGACTCGTATGGCTAAGTATGCCCCTCCCGCTGCAGCAAGCAAAGGCAGCACTGACAGTGTCACGGCTGTCAGCTGCCAGACGGTTCCGAAACTCACACAGATTCCAGACACAAAAACGGCAGCATAGTGCAAAAAGTTCCCTGCCTGCACAAAGCTTATCCCAATCTCATTCTACGGGTACAGCATGATATAACCACAAAAAATTCCAAAGTAAAGCAAGACTTTCTTAACTTAAGGGTAGATTTATAATCGATTCCTCCGAATCATCTTTTATACACAAATGAATGTTATTGTGGTGAGGAAATTACTTTGTCGCCAATAGCCTCTTGAACTAGCAGGGTGTCACTTGAAATTCGACTAACGAGCTCAGAAGTGCAAGAATCCGTGTCAAAGAAGCCAACTTCCTGTATGCACAAGTCCGTAAGATCATACTCCACCCAGTCAGTACCTACACCTTCTAGTCATGTTGGTATTACATGGCAAAACTCAATCGCAATCATACATGCCTAGATATGGCAACGATCTTCATAACAAGAAACCGCCACGACATACATCAACAATTTGGATGGAGCTATGCAATATGAAAAGGTGACTTCAAAAAGGTTTAGATGTCAGTGAACCCCTTGACGTGTCCGGGACTTATGTATGAACAGCATAAGCAAAGACTTGCAGAAAGCCCTAATGAAGGTCTTCTTTCAGTTCTTATGTTCATACCTCAGATAGAATTGCGTGCAAGTATTTTGTCCGTATACGAGCCGACTGACGCTCACCAGTAATCATCCAACACGAAACCTCTGCACACCATGAGACAAACTACTGAGGGTGCTGCTCTTCGATTGTTTCATTGCAATTAAATTTCCAATTCTACTCTACCTAGGTAGCGATCCTTAAAGCATATGAATGAGTATCGGTGCTTGTTCATCTTGTCAGACATAACTTGAATACAACGACTAGCTGTACTGAGAGTATGGTGCCCCAACAGTTAACTACTAATGGATCTAAGACGAGTTGGATATGACGGATTGTTCACCTAACCATGCTGTTACCAAGCAATGGATTCCCAAGTAAAAAAAGTTCATAGAATACTGCACATGCCACGGTACGTGCATGGTAAGACAGGGCATGATTATCGCAATCAGAGAGTTTAGGGTCCTCACTATAAGCAACGACATCCTCAAGTTTGATGAAAGAGGAATTCATTGTGGTTTTTAAGAATGCTAACAGAGAGCCACTATAGACACAAAGCAAATGAGACAAGGGCATTTAGGTTCAGATAAGGAACCCGAGAAACTTCTGCAGTCTGCTTCATGGGATCACCCATGGAATGACCCAGGTCATTGATGAGCCTGGAGAAGTAAATGAAGAAAACGGGGACAGCCGCCCCGTGAAGAACTGCCGCGGTTCCTCCAACCACCATTAGAACGTAGTCTACCTTATCTGCAAACGAGAACAGCTTGTGATAGGCTACTCTCTGTACTTTCCCCTTTATATTTCTGATTTTCGTCTGTTTAGAACTATTCTTTGGTGTAATCGGCCTCGACTGTTGCTTCGGAGATGGTGTTCGCAGAGATTGAAGACCCATGGCTTCGTAATCACAATTTTCTGCACTCATGTCCAAGAATGGACTTGTCAGATTATAGTCCTCAAGGATTGCTTGGCATTCGTCACTCAGACTTGAATTCTCTGATAAATGTAATATCAAATGTCTGATAATTTATGCATCAAGATCCTCTGAGCATTGGATAGCAAAGCGAGAACAGAACTCGCGAAGTGTCTAAAATTAGGTTTAGCTACTCACCAAGATCAAAGTAGGGTGAGTGTAAACTTGCAGAGAGTTGCGGTGAGTGAGTATAAGATGATGGCCGTAAACCTTGGGTTTTGGTTAATTCCAGAGGACTGGTTGCGAAGAGGACGTGCAAAGTAAAGAGTAGTTTAGAAAGCCTCACTTCTGCTGGGAGCGCTGAGACTCTCGGATTTTTCTATCATCGATTTCCTCTTTTCCTTCACACGATTTTCCAGTTCGACAGAGTCTAACTCTGGCAGCTTCATCGTTTTTGATCACCACAATTTTGTACCTGAAATCAGACATGGGACCAATCCATAACTCCTGTGACACACTCTTGTTCCCCACCTAAACAGTTCGGAACAAAACTGAAAAACACTTTTTACTCGCAAGCATATTTTCCAATTAGGTTACCATGCACACTTCTGCTAGAATTAGGTATCCCATGAGCCTGGGTGCAGACCATAATTTGAAGTTCTACTCCTAGTTGACTGAAAATTGAACAAGTATACAAATTCAAGTTACATATCCAAGTGCACGCATCTCTTACCAGAACCAGAATGAATCATCAACCAGCTGATCCAAAACAGTCCGACACTTATGCCATCACCCATTCACCCGCAATTGAGACATGGCTCCCGAATCCCGTCAACCCACACCACAAACCACGAGTCCACAACCCCTAGACAATCCTTTCACAACCTTCCGTGTCTCCACGTTTCGCAACCACATGCACATCCATACTGCTTAAAAGCTGATATACCAAGCGCAACAAGATGGGCACAAGCAGAATCGACCCACGTCTGTTGAACACGAGTTTCTGCACCAGCAGTGCAGAGTAACATACATGCAGCAGCTCCGTTGCGTCAAGAGCTGCAGCAGAAATCGAGATGGAATCAGCCTTAAATCAAACGGGTGACGATGAAAGTAACGCTCAAAACCTGAATTTGAGGAGCTGGGCAATTCGAAATCGAAGTACGAGATGGTGTGGGAAGGGCATAGTGGGTTGGGAGTTCGTTACTTTGCAAAGGGGCGTGGAGATCGCGGCAGTTGCATGGATCCATATCATTCTACAGGGCATCCCCCTGATCATCAGGCAGTGGCCTCGCCAATCGTTCCACAAAGCATTTGCCGCTGCGTTCCCGCATCGTTCCCAAAATGGGAACATCGTCTCTCTCCATGTGGAAAAGCCTTCGCGGAGCTCTTGACTAAACCCTAAACCCTCCGGTAAGTCCTCGACACCCTCCTCGTGTGCACCCTGGTGATTTCTTCTACCTGCCGCACTCAGTTCGGTGCTCATTTGCGGTTTCTTGCATCCTCTTGGTTGATTCCCCGTGCCCAGGTTCGCCGAATTTGTGCAATGTGATGGTAAAGCTCTGAGAGATCGAAGGATTTTAGGGTTTCTCGTGTGTGGAAGCTCTTGGGTTTGCAGGGTTTGGTGTTGGGGGGTAGATTTTTAATTAACTTGAGCTGTGACGTTTATTCTGACTGTTCCTTTTCTCTTCTTGGTGGCTTGCGCAGATTGAAGCTAGGTGTGGTTTGCGAGCCTGGTCTAGTGTTGCGGTCTGGGATTGTTATGGGAGTCACTTTCTGGTGAGAGAGGTTGGCATTTGACAGCATGGCCACGAGTTGTTGGATGTAAACTTTAGCAGTGCTGCTGTGGGGGATTTATTTACGATGGCTATGGCGGCAGCGCGTTTGCTCTCTCGTAGGGTTTGTAGAAGTGTTCTCCCCTCTTTCTCAAACTCTGGCATCTCTCTGGCATCTTCCCCTGTTGTGTCGCCCACCGATGAAACGCTGGTGTCGTCAAGATACCTTTCCATTTCTCCTGTTGCAAATAAGGGTTTTCAGTGTGGGAAAGAGGATGTGAGGCTGCGGAGCCTGACACAGTTGGTGCCATTTGGTCGGGTTTTCAGCACTGATGCAACCGAAGGGTTCTCAAGTGAGAAGATAGATGATTTGTCACAGACGATTGTGGAAGCCCCAAAGGCACCAACTGTGGCTCCACCCAGACCCTTTAAACTGAATAATGAGCAGCGGAAACTGGCAGAAGTGATCGGCTACAAAGTTGTTGATCGCTACACCGAAGATAATTTTGGGAAAAACAAAAAGCCGAAGGCATTTGCAGTCGTTCAAGTATGTTTCCCTCACTCCATTTATGAAGACAAAGCCTGAGTTGAATCTATGATTGTTGTCTGTAATAATTTATATGTTCAAATATCCAGATTATTTGGAGAGTTTTGGGAAAGATTTCATGCTTTCTACACTCTAAGCATGCAGATCTTTGAAAGTTAGAGTTACTGAACAGTACACCTCCTGAGTTGTAGACATTACGATTATTGGCTTAACAACTTCGAAATATGTCCTGTTATTTTTTCAGCCCTCCTAGGCTCCAGTGTAGGCTAAGGCATGGTTTTATGGATACATCTTTATGAATGGTGTTATGCTGTTAAGATATTGTAGCAATGGGGTTCTACATTGATGCAACATCTAGGAACTAAGGTTCAATTCCGCAAGTTTCGCGGCTCTTGCGTAGCTGGATGATGTAGTTATCACTAGTGCAATGCATTCTCCATTCTGATGTTTGTGCTGTATAGGTTGGTAGCCATCAGTTCAAGGTATCTCCAAATGATCTCATTTACACTGAGAAACTTAAGTACTGTGACATCAATGACAAGGTATGTATATCATCGTAGTGATAATTATTCCATTTTACATTTTTATGTATTTATTCATTTTCCAACCGTTAATGAAATTATTTTATCATAAATGCTGGGCTTGATCCAATTCGGTCTTTCTGCAGTTGATGCTGAATAAGGTCCTTCTGCTCGGATCAAAAGACCAGACCATCGTTGGTCGACCTACTGTACCCGACGCTGCAGTCTTTGCTGTTGTTGAAGAACATGTAAGGAAGAACTCGTAATCTTTATGTTCAAAGTCTTAGAACTCATTTTCTGGATAACTGCATTACTCTGGTATGGATTTTAATTTTAAGTAGAGAGACTGTTGATATGTGGCATGTGCACATGGCTTGATGCAGGCGTTGGATGAGAAGGTGATCATTTTCAAGAAAAAGAGACGAAAGAACTATCGAAGGACTACTGGTCATCGCCAAGTGGGGACTGAACCTTATCGGTGTTTGCTTGTCTTAGATGTGTGTAGTGGCTTGCTGGGTATACCAAAACGCTACTTCTTACGATTTTGTACGCCAAAAGATCAAACGGTAAGTGGTTTTTTTTTCACTGGGGGCTTCTGTGCAAATTTTTGCAGGAATTGACGCGACTTCGAATTTTGGAGGTCAAAGGCATCAACCTGGACGAGCCTTTCCCATCAGTATCTCAGAAACTTAAAGCCACTCCTTCGAAAAAGGTAAACCACACTAGCGCTGATACAAATCTAGGTGGTATTCCCACACCTGCTTTAGCTTGAAACACAATGCAGGGACGGTGAATTGCTGATCGAGCAAATCAATGCAACAACTATAATCTGTTTTAGGAATTGTGACCATTTTCTGTATTTTCGTTCTTCAAGTAATAATCACCATGAGGGGACATGAGTTTCTAGCCCTCGTGTGCTGATGATGCATCTTTCCCAGCTTTTGAGTTGAGGCGATCAATTGACTAATTTTCGTACACTAACATGTCCAACCTAGTTATATTTGGGGTCATTGAACAATGAGTCAACAGAATTGGTTAAATCGTCACAATTAGAGGAATATATCTTACACCGATCATCATGTCTCCTTGTGAGAAGACATCATCACCGTCCAGGCTTTACTTCATTTATTTTGCTGTTCAAAAGGTTCGATTTCCTTGTTCAAGCTATTGTCCAGGGGTGCAACACATTGCTATAGTTGCAGTTTCAGCTTTGAGGTAATCGATTGCTCTATCCGTTTATTTCAATCAGTTTCTAATACAACAGAGCCTTCGTATGCGAAAACCAAGCGAAATGTAGGTACCCAACACATCAGGAACATTGGGATTATCATGGGATTACTTTGTTTCTGTATTAATGTTGTTTTGATTCCAATCTTGCTAAAACTTTATTTCAGCCACAATGGTTTAATAATGTGTATATATATATAGACTTCATGTGTACATGTTATTTATTTATTTATTTATTTGTTTGTTTGTTTGTTGTTGTTGTTGTAGATATTACATATTATGTATATATAGATAGTGTTCCTTCCAATAATTAATCCTTCAAAAGCTAATAACTCCAATAATCAATCAAAATTTTAAGAACTATTTTCATTCTATGGTATATAATTAATAATCTTTAATTTCTAATAATTAATTGGTTTTCATTGCTTTTTATTAATTAAGAGGTAATTAATAGATGCCATGTGGTTGATGGGGCCACATAACTATACATGATTGGGTGGGTGAGTCAAGGCCATGTGGTTGCTAGGATAGAAATAAACAATAGATTGTAGGATCTTGGAAAGGTTGATTTCCATCTTACTTTTAATATGCAATTTTTGATAAATAATATTTTTTCTTGCAATTAATCATGTTAATTATTGGGGTAGGGAGGAAGAGAGGAGATATTGTATATATATTCAAATAAAACATCTAAACATTGATTTATTATTCTGGTTTATATATATATATACAAATGTATATGCATATAAGTATACAAAATTATGTAACCAAAATATTTTTTTTGAATCTCTAAATCATAAATATATTTATTATTACTATATATATATATCACATATAATTGTATAATAATTTTATAATTGAGTTTCAAATTAAAATATATCTTTAAATTATTAGGATAAAATTTGGATTAAGCACTCTTAATATATTTATAAATATTTTTGGATCTTAATTTTTTATATCTTTAAAGATAGGAATGGTTGCAATTCTTATCCTTATTTCTTATAATCATTAATTTTATTTTATTTTATTTTAAAACTATTGTAAGTTCTCATAACATTTTACAATTAATGATTTGTTAATCAATCTATGCATACTACTTGTGCTTGGGAGGTTATCACTTTCTCTTAGAAACTTCCAATTTTGATTGCTAGATTAATTATGCATCTTATTCTCCCTTTTTCTTTCTTTTTATCTTTCTAAGTTTTATGTATATGTTATATATAAAATTGTATGTTTGATTTTAACTTGAAACAATCATTTGAATAATTATGAAGAAATTTAAAGTGAAGTTATGATTTTAACATAGATCAAACATAATTTGATAGAAGATGATAATTTGAATTGCAATAGACACAAAAATAATAGATGAGGAAGTCGATGGACTAGAAAAGTTTTTTTTATGTGAAAGTGTAGGAACAACTATTGGATTATAAAAATATAAATAGAATAAAGATTCAAAGGCTAAGAAGGATATAATAATCCTTTTGATTAAGGGAGCAATAGATAATGATTAGAAATATGTTTTTTTTTTAGCTTACACTCTAGTTTGAAGTCTTGTGTTGGAATCAAGGGTATGGTATAAGGGGGGCAAGGTGGTCATAAGTATATAGAAGTGAAAGATATGGAAAAATAATTATGATTTTGCATAATGTGAGAATTGATATGTTAGTTCTTACCATAAATATGTTTTGAATAAGAAAATATTTCAATAAGTGATTGGAATGAAAATGAGCTGTGAAATTAAAATACTATTAATAAACTTATATTTTAAGATTAAAAACATAAAACAATAACTATCAAAAAATTCACTATATATATATATATATATATATATATATAATCTTGATTTTTTATTGAATTTAACAATAAGTCTATTAGAAAATAAAGATGTAAAATTAACAATATCTCAAATAATTATATTACAATTTTTTTTTTCATTAGTATTTTATTTTTAAAAATAAATAAACATAACATGATTATTATTTTAATCACAGTTTCCGAGGAGGGGTTCGGTGTTCTTGAACTCCAGTTATTCGAGTGCACATTCCTTGTGGGAGCTATTGACCACCAGCTGTAACAATTCCTGTAGTTGAACTTATCCCAGCAATGCAAACCCCGTCGTTGAACTTTGCTGGTGCTCATCTTGATGAGCGTTGGTGACAGACTAGACGCATCACCACAGAGCACGATCCGCCAGGAAATTGCAGCGGAAGAAACTCAAACTGGATTGCAAGTTGAGGGAAGGCCATCTGTCACATCAACGCGCTGCGATCGGATCACAGTGGGATTTCCAAGATGTATGTTTTTTTTCACTCCCAGCGACGCTACCGACATGTCGTGCTGATTCCGCATCGAGATCGGAGGCCACTACTACGGGTCAAGTACTAGCTACGGATTGTTGACGAGATAGAAAATGAGGTTCTCAGCTGCAGTGCACACACACCGGCGGCAACGTATGTGACCAGGAATGCGTATATCCGCATCTCCGACACCGTTGACGTGGGGATCCAGCTTTTGGTTTGTTTTTGGATCCGGGTTTTGGACTTATGGGAGCTCATTCTGCTGCTGCTCCAGAGGGCGCTGAGGTCTTTGGATCATTCCGATGAAAGTTCGGAGCTGTGCTTTAAAAGAACTGCATTCATCTGCACACTGATCGGAGGTCAGGTTTTTTGTTCGAATTACCCTAGTGTGTTTCAAACACATAGTTGGTGAAGGCTGTGTTTAGGTTAAAATCGATTGATTCAAACATTCTTAAGAGTTCAGGTCTTTGATTCAAAGGTTTGTTACTTGTGCTGGGAATTGGTGAATCTGAAAATTTGCACTCATTTGATCACTAATGGATATCTCTCTTACATTGCCTGGACACCCGATGCCCACTTGAATATACAAAATAAATCTCTTATTTACACTAAAAAGTTACAAAGTACATTTACACCAAACATTTGTATGCAATGGTTTATTGCACTTCTTTTTAAAAAAATGATATATTTAACGGAATCTCAAAATGTATTTGATGATTCTTTTATTCACTTCAAAAAACTTATTAGTTTTATTCAAGAATTATTTTATTATAAATTTACTCTCTCTCTCTATATATATATATATAATTTTTTTTTTTTTTTTTTTTGTATTTTTGACATATGTTTTATTGTTTGTATAGGAGGTGTGTAGCATGGGGTGTTTATCTAGCAATTCTTTTTAATAATTATCTTATATAAGTTTTAGCTTTATCTTTTAATTTAATGCATCTAAAAAAAATTTACTTTCTTATTCAATAAATTCTAATCTTGTTAAGATGTAAGAAATTCATGAGAAGTTCTAGATTTCATAAATTATTTTAAATTTTCAATAAATGATTTGAAAAAATAAAATTAGCAACGTCAAGTCCACCCCAAGAGACTTCGATTGGTGAGCATCTACAAAGAAGCCTCTATCCTGAACAAGCTAGAAAATCACGATCCACGAGGAGCCATGGCGAGATATGCTACAAATGTGCTGCCACTACATATCCGTTTACAAAGTCCAGATGCAATTCACGCACAGTGGGGCCAGCGTCCCGTTTCATGACGAGACCGCCCCCAACCTTCCCCAGTCGGCCATTCTGCACGCTGAATCAGACTCGACGCAACATGGGCCGCCGCGCTTGATCGAATTACCTGGCCTCAAATCCGCAGACTTTTCATGGTACGCCACGAGGGCCTCATCCGTCCATCAACTGCTCGCATGAAATCCGAACTCGTCACGAAGGTTCCAACTCCATCACAAAGATCTTCACAACACTATCTAAAGTGTGTTGCAGCGAAACGGGGCGAGAATCCACGATTAGATGTGGGTGACGAGCAGGCTCTTGCTCTCGGACCTTGGTCGCCGGTGCCGTCACGGAGTTCCTGAACCACTTCGTAGCACCCACAGAAGCACGATCTTGAAGCTCTAGCAGCTCAAGCAATCTTTGCAACAACTGCTGCGATTGCTCGCATGTGCGAAATCGGCATCAAAGCGCGACACGGGGGGAGAAATCTTTTCTATCGACTGATGCAGAATGACGACGAAAACACTGATTGGGTTCGTGAGAACTGCACTCAAGCTCGTCCCATGAAGGATTGGGCTACATTCCCTACAAAATTTTCTCTAGTCCAAGATTCTAAGGCAAAAGCAATGCATCCTAGTAGAATTCGGGAATATATTGTTACTATTTTTATTTTTTTCTGTTTTTTTTTTCACAAATTATAGTCTTTTTTTTTTTTTTTTTTTTTTTTTTTGAGGATTTGTTAGAGATTACATGTATTCAACATACCATGGACTCAGTAAAAAAGCAAGGGTATAAAAAACTTTTTAATTGATCTAAAGCAATACATGAGGCTTATTTTTTAACAAAAAAATATTTTTTAAAGTAAATAATATTTTTTAATTAAATTTAAAAATACATAGTTTAATATATTACTAATAAAATATTAGATTTTTAAGTTGTTTTTGTAGATTATTAATATTTAGATATTTGAATAAATTTATAAAAAATATATATAAAAGATAAATAGAGGTAGGATAATTTCAACAAGTACATTAAAGTAGATATGTCAAACAACTAGAATATAATAAAAAAATCAATGATAGGTTTAGATTTAAATAAGATAAAGGAAAAAAAATCTTTAAATTAAATTTTTATACTTTATAGGCATAGAATAATTTCTTATCATGTTAAACTTAAGAATTTAGATATTAAAATAAAGAGGCACGCCATATACCAACTG